GGAGACTTTATTGTGCATCTTGCACAATATCAAGCCTTTCATAACAAACTCCTCGCTTTAAAGCTCACGTAACTCAAAGCCTCGAAGAACTAGGCAATCGCAGAGATGCTTAATTACTGTAGCGACCAGAAGCGGTGCATCCGAGCTAATATCAACGATTCGTACGTCATGTCGTGAAATATGATTTCACCTGTTGGAGCTTTTCGTGTATTTATGCGATAACGTGTTCTTGCATCCTGTTATGCAACAACGCATTCACCTCTGCGAGTCGCGTATAATCCGTGATTATTTCTGGATTTCCTCGGTCCGTTTCAACCACCGACTGCATGGTTCTCGGAAAAAACTGAACTGTGAGGAATGAAGTTCTTAAGCCGGTTCGCACTCGGCCGCGGTGCATCCGAAAGAAACCATTGCTCTTTCCGTCCCGCGATCCTCTTCTCCTCTTAGCAACATTTTTGACGATTTATCTGGACGGTTTACAGTGATACAGGATCCGTGTCTACAGTCTTTTCGAACGTGTACCAGGTGTACGCTACACATACGTCAAAAGGACGACCGTTCTCAAAATATGATTGCCGGTGTCTAGAAAAAGGTCTGGGTCAGCTAATTCCCGTCTAAAAAGATCTCTATAATTGACAATACTTTAGGAAGCGCCTTTCCGCTATCAAAAGGACTAGAAACATCGGTGTGGTCGTAGGAGAGATTACGCCTCGGGGAACGTGCTCGGGGCTCCAGGATTTCACACGCGCCGCCTGTTCTAACTCACCGGAACTAATCTCTATCATGCTATCAGCCTATATAGTGCGAACTAGTTACGAGTAACTACAAGATGCACGACAACAATCGTTAATCCCATCGTTCTCCGTCGTCCGTGAACGAAAAGTTTCATCGTTCCCGGTTACATCGGGTCGCCGATCGGACGCGAGTCCCGCGGGAGCTCGCTTCGCCCTGCTCGCTGTTGACGAGTCGCGCGAGACGACGAAAGGTACGGTCATTGTTCGGGCCGAAATGTCGCCTTTTTCTCCTCGGTGTTACGGAGAACGAAACGGAAGCGAGCGTTTCACGCGATCCGGAGTATTATTGTCCGCGAAACCCCGGCCACGTGGTTCACGGCTGCTGTTCACTCGGTTCACTCGACCCGCTCCGAGCACGTTTGTTTACATGGCGAACACGTGGCGTCGCTTATCCGCGGGACACGCTTTCGTTCGCGAGCCGTTGTCCTCGCGTCCAAGACGTCCGCGCCCGTTCGGGAAGAAGAGAGTATTCTGAAATTGACTCTTGTCCCGAGGAGATGCCGGGACGCGCTATTTCCCCCTTCGAGGAGCTACCGAGAGGTTCTTATCGGTGTCCGTCGGTGGAGAGGACACCGAAGTCGAAGTGTTTCGAAAAGGATAGATACAAAGGCGCGGTGAGACCGGACCGCGGACTCTTTTATGCGGATTCCCTTTCACGGGACGTTTCAGCAAAATGAAAGGTGAATCGGGGGAAACGAATGCGTACAGGTGACCCTTGCATAACGCGGCAGAAGATACTGTTGTCGACTGCGATACGGTGAATTATTCAAACCGGCGGCGTCGGAGGAATAATGCTGTGAGCGATATAAAACGAACGTAACGAGTTAAATATATTCTGCGACGCGCGAGCACAATGCGTCGCTATTCCGTGACAGATACCAAATTGCCACTTCCGTCAGCTCCTATTTTTCTGCGTATTTGCATGTCCGTGCACTGCGTTATTGGAAATCGCTGTTCGCGTTACGCGAGCATTGCCCACGTGCCGTGAACCGTGTTGTATATTGTACGCTATGTCATTGGGATCACGTGTGACAATTCATTAATAATGTGGAAAATAAATCGCGCGTAAAAGGAACGTTGCTCTTGAGAGAACAGACGATGCAAGAAATTAAATGATCGCCCGTTTTTTATAATATCAAGGTACAGTAATGTCTCCCTCATTGACAGACAATTTGGGAAGAGGCGATACGAGATTATTCGAGCCTTGCAGCGCGTTTTCATAGTTGTTGACAATCGATAACCATAAAAAACGAGCCACGAGGCTCGAACAATCGTATCTTCTCTTCGAAAATTGACCATTTTTGTGGACAATCCGAGCGTCAATTAGACAGACATTATTTTACAACCAAGTATTCGCAACTTATCGGTGCACGATGCAAGCGTCCTTGGAGTTATTACATGTCCTTTGTCCCGAGAAAAATGTATCGTCGCCCACCGAAGTGATTTTTACTAGCCGCGCCAGTAAGTTCTCCGTCATGCCCGGGTCACCCGTACAACGAATTCTTTCGGTATTTTCCTACCCCTAGCGCGACTGCATAAAGTTCCGCGGTCCAGCGTCCATGTTTCAGCGTTCAATGTTTACGAGTCCACGTCCCGAGATTGCACGTGGTCGCTGAGCTCACTTCCGCCATCTTGTTCCCTCCCCGAGGAAGAGATTGTTTTTATTTTTCGATGTGCACGATGAACGAGATTCGGAGCCGTGCCTGCGCGATATGCCTCGCTTCCGTTCATCCGGCGTCACGTGACTCGTTCATAGCTGTAGAGAGGCTTTCGAAGTGTCGCGCGGTTTGTGCATGTCGCGCGGCGTCCAAAGGACCCGTGCGAACGGATAATTCGGAAGAGATTAGGTTTGTCCCGAGTGCCAAACGTGACGACGGATCCGTGGGGTGCGATACGAAGCGAGATACAAACTCGGTTCCCGTTCGCGTCTGCGGCCGGTGATCGGCCGCGGTCAGGCTAATCGCTCCCTCGATTCTGGCGCGTTCGTGGAATGTTCATTCGAAAGCATACGTTCGTTCTCCCTCGCTTTCGTTCTTCCGCGTGTTTTCGGCGGGAAAAGCTCTAGTAGAAAGGAGCGCGCGTCGCGATCACCGACCGATTTTTTGGGAACGTTAATTGACCAAATAATACTACTCCCAGGCTCTTTCTCTCGGTCCGCGCAGGCAGCCGGCTCTTTCGATAACACTACCCTTAAAGCGTATCGATTATTAAAGCACCGTCTAAGTAGTTCTAGGACCTATGAATTAAACAAGCCTTGTTTAGTTAGACGGCGGCGCCCATACGTTCGCCGCCACGGGATTAACCCTACCGGTTCTCGAAATCGATCGTCGCCGATCGCGACTACCGATCGATGCTTAATCGTGCGTTCTCGCCGCTCCCGTCGTCCTCGACGAGACCTACGACGAGGTTATATTGCTTGGCCGAGCGTCGCCGCGGCGACGCTGCACTTGTTGAATTGACTGGTACCGCTGTTGAGATATACGTGTTTCGAGTTCCCAGATCGGCCCGGCGCGTCGCGCCCATTTCAGCTCGAACGCGATCGCGCCGGAACCCGCGGTGGCAAAGCTTCGCTTCCGTCTCTCTTATCGTAACCTTAGTATTGACTGGTAGTGTGTACGTGTGTGTGCAACCTTNGATCGCCCGTTTTTTATAATATCAAGGTACAGTAATGTCTCCCTCATTGACAGACAATTTGGGAAGAGGCGATACGAGATTATTCGAGCCTTGCAGCGCGTTTTCATAGTTGTTGACAATCGATAACCATAAAAAACGAGCCACGAGGCTCGAACAATCGTATCTTCTCTTCGAAAATTGACCATTTTTGTGGACAATCCGAGCGTCAATTAGACAGACATTATTTTACAACCAAGTATTCGCAACTTATCGGTGCACGATGCAAGCGTCCTTGGAGTTATTACATGTCCTTTGTCCCGAGAAAAATGTATCGTCGCCCACCGAAGTGATTTTTACTAGCCGCGCCAGTAAGTTCTCCGTCATGCCCGGGTCACCCGTACAACGAATTCTTTCGGTATTTTCCTACCCCTAGCGCGACTGCATAAAGTTCCGCGGTCCAGCGTCCATGTTTCAGCGTTCAATGTTTACGAGTCCACGTCCCGAGATTGCACGTGGTCGCTGAGCTCACTTCCGCCATCTTGTTCCCTCCCCGAGGAAGAGATTGTTTTTATTTTTCGATGTGCACGATGAACGAGATTCGGAGCCGTGCCTGCGCGATATGCCTCGCTTCCGTTCATCCGGCGTCACGTGACTCGTTCATAGCTGTAGAGAGGCTTTCGAAGTGTCGCGCGGTTTGTGCATGTCGCGCGGCGTCCAAAGGACCCGTGCGAACGGATAATTCGGAAGAGATTAGGTTTGTCCCGAGTGCCAAACGTGACGACGGATCCGTGGGGTGCGATACGAAGCGAGATACAAACTCGGTTCCCGTTCGCGTCTGCGGCCGGTGATCGGCCGCGGTCAGGCTAATCGCTCCCTCGATTCTGGCGCGTTCGTGGAATGTTCATTCGAAAGCATACGTTCGTTCTCCCTCGCTTTCGTTCTTCCGCGTGTTTTCGGCGGGAAAAGCTCTAGTAGAAAGGAGCGCGCGTCGCGATCACCGACCGATTTTTTGGGAACGTTAATTGACCAAATAATACTACTCCCAGGCTCTTTCTCTCGGTCCGCGCAGGCAGCCGGCTCTTTCGATAACACTACCCTTAAAGCGTATCGATTATTAAAGCACCGTCTAAGTAGTTCTAGGACCTATGAATTAAACAAGCCTTGTTTAGTTAGACGGCGGCGCCCATACGTTCGCCGCCACGGGATTAACCCTACCGGTTCTCGAAATCGATCGTCGCCGATCGCGACTACCGATCGATGCTTAATCGTGCGTTCTCGCCGCTCCCGTCGTCCTCGACGAGACCTACGACGAGGTTATATTGCTTGGCCGAGCGTCGCCGCGGCGACGCTGCACTTGTTGAATTGACTGGTACCGCTGTTGAGATATACGTGTTTCGAGTTCCCAGATCGGCCCGGCGCGTCGCGCCCATTTCAGCTCGAACGCGATCGCGCCGGAACCCGCGGTGGCAAAGCTTCGCTTCCGTCTCTCTTATCGTAACCTTAGTATTGACTGGTAGTGTGTACGTGTGTGTGCAACCTTAGACCTTAGACGCGGCGTATGCTTAAATTCGTAGGTTTTCCATTTACAGTTCGTTAGCGTAGAGTGTACTCGTTACTCGCCGGCGACAACCAATCGAAAGCTCGACGGGAAATCAAGTCGCTACGCTCCAAATAAATCGTTCGCGCCGTCGGCTAACGGAGCCGTCCGCGGAGCCGAAAGACGAGCGATGCGAGAGCAGCCCCGTCGACGATCACTTCTCGGTTTCCAAGGATTTCAACCGTGCATTTTCCACAGGCATCGTCGCGGCACTTCGATGTTCGCGCGAACTTCGCATCGCTCGTCCTCCCGGCGTACGCTCGGGATATATTGATATCGAGGACGCGACGTCGGGACCGCGTCCGTCGAGGTCTCTCGGAACCAAGTGCTTCGGTCGAAAGCGTTTGAAAGGTGTGCAAAAGCTTCTCAAGATCCCGCGTATCTTGTCGGAGAACGTATTCGAATTGTCCAACCATGGAAGAAGCTACCTGGAAGAAGAAGAAGAAGAAGTTCTCTTCTCGACGACGAGCGAAGTTCGCGAGCCCGAGCGAAAAAAAGCGAAGCAACTTCGGACCTCGACAGGCGATCCCGTAGGTTTGCCCCGCGGCTTACAAAACAGCCTGTACAGAAGAAACAGGACACGAAATCAGCGTAGAAGTCGGTCGAAAGCGCGCGCAAATAAATGAGACGGCTCGACGAGAGCAGCCTCGTCGAGAGCGATTATGCCTATGATTTCACCCAACCCCCGAATCTCGAGTACGCCTTACAAAGGTTTTCGTGTCCTCACTTAATCATGATACTCACTGCCGTGGGTCCCTGAGCGATAGCAGTCTCCTTAGAGGCCTCCTCGACCCCCTTGAGCTTCTCCTCGGCCTGGCGTTCCTTCAACGCCTTCAGTAGCTTCCACTTGGATCCAGGGGGGCCAGGGCTGACCTGGCCCTCCTTAAGCGTCGTGTCCGAGCTACCGCAGGACGAGGAGTCGATTTTGATTTTCGGCAGGCTCAAGGTCGCGGTAGTTGCCGTCTCGGCGCTACCGGCTCCGTCGCGCTCGAGGCCTTCAAGGACAGTGCTTTCCGAATCCCAGGCGCCCGGGATGCTGACGGACACCTCGCTAGGTGGTACACTAACGCTACCTTCGCGAGAAAGGGATTCTGAACCGGGAAGAACTTTTTCACCGTGTCGTAAGGTCGAGCCGCTCGAGCTCCGTCTCGACTGTTGTTCCTCGAGGTCCTTCGATACTTCTTCCTCCTCCTCTTCGTCCATCGATTGCACGGGACTATCGGGGCCCGAGGTCTCCCCCGAGGAGCCCTCCTCCATGGACGAGGGCGGCTTTTCCTTTCTGATCTCCTCCTCTTGGGCCCACGTGTGGTAATCGGTCACCCTCGCGAACACCTGTTCGATGCTCTCGGCGGATTTTCGTTTCGGGATCGGTTTCTCGTCGCGATACCTGTCTCTCTCGTCGATCCGATGCTCCTTCGCGACGGTTCCGTTCACCTTGGCGGCCTTCGGCTCTTCCTTCTCCTCCTTCGGCTCTTTAGGTTTCGCGGTGGCCTTCATCTTCAGCTCCTTCAGCACGAACGACATCTTCTCCTTCACCGTGTCGTCCGGCCGGTAATGGTCGGTCTCTTCGGGCTCCTCGACCAGCACCACTCCCATTTCAACTTCGATCTGGGACTGTCTTTCCAGCTCTTCCAGTTTCCTCAGCTCGTACCGATACCATTCGTCCTCGGAATCGATCGAATCCTCCGTGCTCTGCCGCCTCGAGGAGACCCTCGACGTGCTTCGGTAGGAATGCGTGCTTCGGTTGTCCTCGTCCAGCTCGCCGGGTCGCGACCCCGTCCATGGTATTTCGAGGGATTGCTGGTGCCGCGGTAGGAATCGGCTTCCCGTCGATATGCCCCTCGTGCTGGACGCCGAGGGGCTGCCTTCCGACGGCGGCGCCTCCTCGGATATGCTGGTGACCAACTCCGGCAGCCTGGTGCTGCTCGACTTCTCGCTCTTCTCGCTCTTCTCCGAGACGTCTTCGGGATACTCGAAGCTCGTCTCGAGCGTCTGGACGGTTCCTTCCTCCGATTTCTTGTCGTTGCCGGAGTCCTCGCTGGGCGGTTGCTCGTCGGAGACCGTGGACGACTGTCTCTGCCGGTATTTGCCCAACGCTCTGGACACGGCGAACTCCATACTCGCGCCGGCCATTATAGTGACCGGAGGAAGCTTGGGCGCCTTCTCGTTGGGCGCCTCGTCGGAGCTGCCCGTTGATTTCTTTATGTCGCCGACGGTTTGGAATATGGAGGATCCGCCCGAGCCGGAACCGGTGCTCTTGCCCGACGTCTCCTCCTCGAAACCGGCCAGTTGATCGATGTCGTGCTCCGTTTCCTTCCTCTGATCCTTCTCTTTGCCCCAGCCATCCTGGAGCGCCTGCTGCTGCATCTGCTCCTGATGCTGCTGGATCTGCTGTTGCATCTGTTGCTGCATCTGCTGTTGCATCTGCTGCTGCATCTGCTGCTGCATCTGCTGTTGCATGGCTTGCTGTTGGATCTGTTGTTGAAGAGCTTGTTGCTGCATCTGCTGCTGTTGCTGCAGATACTCTTTCTGCTGCTGGGACAGCTGGGCCGGCGGCTGCTGCAGCTGCTGCTGTTGCTGCACTTGTTGGGGCAACGGTTGCGACACCGGTTTCCGCTTCGTGCTCGCCGTCTTCACTTTCGCGAAGAACGGCTGCTCCTGGTTCACGTCGGACATCACGCTGTCCTCGTCCTCCGAGAGGCCGCTCTGTCTACCGCTGCTCCACTCGGTCTCCGATTGTTCGGGATCGGACAGCGACTGCGTCTGATGACTTCGTCTTTTCGCTTTCTGCAGGATACCCGAGACCGTGGAGACCAGCGTGTGCTTCTTCTTCTTCCTCGCAGCCTGACCTCTGCCGCGGCCTCTGGCCGTGGCCGTGTCGGCCGGAGGTCTTTGCTGTTGTTCCGGAGGTCCGTCCAGGTCTTCTCTCCTCACTCCGCCAGGCAGAGAATGGCTTCTGTGTCTCTTGCTGAGGTGTAGGTCCGGCAGCCAGTTGCTCATCGAGCTCATCGCGTTCTTCAGGGAAGATCCCCTTCTGATCTTCTTCGTCGCCTTGGCGTTCTCCGGTTCGGGGTCCTTCATGTAGCACGCGATGCTGATGTACCCAGATTGGGACACTATAACGCTGGACGCGTCGTAGTACTCGCTCGGCTGGTGCTGGGGCTGATCCATGGACGGTCTGCCGGTGTCGTGGTCTTGGATGTATTGGTGCTCCCGTTGCCACTGCCTCTGGTAGCCATCGGCGAGTTGCGCGCTCTCCGAGCTGCTCAGTCTTTGACTGTACGGCTGGTACTGTTGCTGGTAGGCCTGCGGGTAGTTCTGGTTCACGTAGGTGTGATGATAGGCCGGCGGTTGTGGATACCTTCGGTCGGTGTACGGACTCTGCGCGTGGCTGCCGTCCGACGTCAACGATCTGATACTCGACGACGTGGAGTCGTGCGGTATCTGCTCCTCCATCGAGTTTAGCCAGGAGCTCTCGTTCGTTTCTGTCCGGGGCAGATTGGCGCTGGTCGGGTAATAGGACAAAGCGTCGGTGATATTGCCTGTGGGGAACATTGTGCGGTACATCGCGGCTTTGTAGCTTTCGTGGTTCGTCAGTCCGTCCGAGTACGCGGTGCTTCTCCAAGGTTTCCTCATGTGACCGACCGAGCTCGACTCCGTGTACGTCACGGAGCCGAAGTTCTCTTGGTAGCTGTTGTACTGGTCCATCGGATCCGGATAATACGCGGTGATCGTGGTCTTCGGCCCGTAATTGGCGGAACCGCTGGTGTACACGCTGGTAATGGCTTGTTGTCGATTGCTGCCGGCCACGGAGTAAATGGCCGGCTGGTCCGATCTAAACACATAGTCCAGCGTGGTTCCAGCCGGAACAGTGTCGTAGGTGTGCTGCAAGGCCTGCTGGCGGGTCCGCCTCTTCGGGCTTTGGCAAGTGGTCGCGATGGGTGCCGGCGGTGGCACGAAGTTGTACTCTTCTTTGGTGGTCGGCGTCTTTATCGCGGCGTAATTCGACAGGTGATTCATAGCGAGCGCGTAGGAATGACTGGTGACCGTGGCCGTGGCGTTCGCGAAAGCGTCCCTGCCCTCCGGCGTGTCGTACAACGGCTCCTGCGTGATCACGGAGGACGTGGTCTCCGGTAGAGGCGGTATGGGACTGCTGGACCTCACCGTCGCGGTGCTCGGGATCAGTGTCCTCGCGTGATCCATGGAGTAAGAGGTCAGCATCTTGGCGATCGAACTCTTCGGGGAGCTGGGCGACTTGTCCAAACTGCTCCACCCGCTCATCGATGATAGGCCGGAATCGGACTTTGCCGCGACGATGTTCGCCGCGCTGCTAGGCTTGATGGCGTGCTTGGGCGACACTCGCGGCGACTTCGGCGAGTGCGGTGCACGCGGGCTCAGTCGTCCCTGCTCCAACGACACCAGTTTCTCGGCGTTCCTCAGGAACGTGGGGCTCTGCGAAGTTTTCGCTTCGGGCTCCCTTTGGTCCGCTCCCGGCATCAGGAACGAGTCCGCGGTGTCTCTGGGTGCCGGCGGAGGCGGCGAACTCGGCGACGGGCTCGGCGGCGTTCTACTCTCTTGGAACTCCAAGTTCAGTCGCGCCGCGCTGCCGAAGAAGCTGTCCTGCCTGGTCCGAAGACTTTGTACGCTATGGACGCTGTGCACGCTGTGGACGCTGCCTGCCGACAAGGTCGGCGATGGAACCTTGTCCGCGGTGGTGCTGTATATAGTGGGCGAGGCGCAAGTTACGGCCACGAAACTCTCTACCATCAGATCGGTCAGCTCCTTGTTCTCCGCGTAGCCCTTCGCGAAGCTGCCGACGTCTATCGGCAATTGGATCACCGGTTCCGGACTCTTCTCCCGCATGGTGGCGGTGTAGCTGAGCCTAGGAGGCGTGTAAGTACTCGAGATCGAGTCCAAGTTCGTCCTGGATGTGGACGTCAGTCTAGGCGATATCGATCTAGTCGTGAAATCGCCGTCGGTGGCGAGACCGCTGTCGGTGCTGACTCTGGAGATCGATCTACCGGTCGATCCAGGGCTCTTCGAGAATGTCCAACTGTCGACGTCGGTCTCCGCGTAGATTTTTCGAAACTGCTCGTCTATGCTAGCCGCTTCCTCGACCAGTTTCCTCGCCTCGGCTTCGGTGCTCTCCAGTTCGTGTAACTTCTCCAGAGCCACTTGATCGATCGAGCTGAGCCTGGACAGCTGCGCCAAGTCTTGCTCGCTGACGCAGGGTGTGTTACCTCGGTAGCTTTTGTAGTCGGCCGCGCTGAACACCTCGCCCTCGTCCTCGTCCGTCTCGTCCTTCTTGTCCGTCGCCGTCTCCTTCGTCTCTTCCTTGGTCGGCTTGCCGGTCAGCTCCTCGAGCTCCTTGAGCTCCTTGAGCTCCTTCTCCTTCGCCACGGTTTTCTCGAACAGGCTCCCTTCCACCTCTTTCTTTCCATTCACGTCCTCGTCCTCGGCCTCCTCCCAGATCATCCCCAACTGCGACGTCGGCCTGGACGTGTCGCCGCAGATCAAGTCCTCCCTGTAAGCGTTGTTCAGGCTCCTGTAGAACGCCTCGTCCGGAATATTACTCTCTTCCGCGAGAGTCTCCAGAGCGTCCAGGTTCCTGACGTTCCGGTGGATGTCGGCGACCACCGCGGCAGCCGTCGAGCTGTCCTGCGTGAGCCCGTGCATCATGGCCAGCTCTTGTTGCGTCAGCTTCTCCCTCATCGTCTCCTCGATGGCCATGCTCGCGCCTATGCTCTTCGCGATGGCGTCCAACTCTCCGACCGTGGCCTGCTGGCTGGCCAACGACTGCTCGACCACGTTCACGGTCTGATGCGGCCCGTCGCTGGTGTAGAATTCGAGCAGCTGGCTGATCACCGTCTGCTGCTCGTACAGGAGGCCCTCCAGCTTCTCCAGTCTCTCCCACATCTTAATGTACTCCTGGCTGAGGAGGTCCAACGCTCGCCAAGCGTATTTCAGCTCGGTCTCGAGGATGTTCAGCCTTGTGCCGAGTCTCTCCATGTAGTCGCTGATCACGTAGTCGATGTTTGCGTCGGTGGTGGTGGTGTTGGCGCTGCTGTAGCTCGCCATCACCGGCGAGTGAGCCCTTGGGCTGGTGGGCGCTGGCCCACCCAGCTTGGTCGTGTCCATTTTCATCAAGTTCGCGTTCGGATAACGCGGCCACTCGGTCACCAGAGTCAACTAAGCTTCTACGATCCGACCTGATTCAGGCTCTCGATGGTCCCCGGGGCGATTCATCGCGTGCACCGCGCGATCAGGCTGTTGGGCGAAGTTACAGCCTTCCCTGCGGCCCAAGGAGGAACATGAACGACGCTTGAATGTAACGCGCGGATGCGTTTGATGCTCGAAAGATCGAACGACACTCGAATACACTGGGACCGGTATGGATCTCCATGTCGACTATTCCGTTGACGCGAACCCGAACTTCTCACACGTCTAACCGAACTGTGCACACTCTCGTAACCTTTCTTCCCACCCGATTTTTCTGGCTACTCGACTGTCGGAATCTCTCTCTCTCTCTCTCTCTCCCTCTCTCTCTCTCTCGCTCTCCCTGTTTCGTTATCGTTCACTTCTATTTGTTGCGTCGGCCGCGATATATTACGTATATTGTCAGTCACCGTGTCTCTGTACTTCCCTGATCGTTGATCTACGTTCCCGTCTCTCTACACACTACGGCTGCGTACACAAAGTTTGACAGTTGCCGGCCGCGATCTTGACGAACCGCTCGTGATCGCGCGACACTTGGCGAATGGCACTTCGTAACCGGTCTCGTCTGTTCATGCCGCCGCTGCTATCTGGAAAACAGGAACAAACGGATTGCGTGGCTTAGTACGAGAGGCGCCCTCGTACCGAGTCATCGCTGACAACAGTTTCCATTGGTGTGTGAGACTTATGATACTAGGACGTGTATGTGTGTGGTGCGTGTGCTCGTCGTTTCGTAGGAGACGCAACGACTTCGTCAGATGTATCCACTCTTCGATCCACGAAACGTTCGACCAGAATCGAATCAACTTTCGACCTAGATATTGCGAGGGAATCGTTTGACCTTGCTCGATTTTCGTTAACTTCTGCGAAATACTGTAATGTCTCCCGAATTGACGGTTCAGATGGTCCACAAAAATAGACAATTTTGGAAAAGGAGATACGATTGTTCGAGCCTTGTGGCTCGTTTTTTATGGTTATCGATTGTCAACAAGTATAAGAACGAGTTGCAAGGCTCGAATAATCGTATCTCCTCTTCCCAAATTGTCCATTTTGGTGCACAATCTTAGCGTCAGTTAGGGAGACATTACTGTACTTTTCTATGATCTCGCAGCATCCGCTTTTACCTTACATTTCGTTCCTATGTGTTATCGTTTAATTGGCAATACGTTAAATTCGTAGCTGCGAGATCGCAGGAAAGTACAGTAATGTCTCTCTAATTGACGCTCAGATTGTCCACAAAAATGGATAATTTTGGAGAAGGAGATACGATTGTTCGAGCCTTGTGGCTCGCTTTTTTATGCTTATCGATTGTCAAAAATTATAGAAACGAACCTCAAGGCTCGAATAATCGTATCTCCTCTTCTCAAATTGTCCATTTTTGGGCACAATCTGAGCGTCAGTAAGGGAGACATTACTGTAGTAGCATAAGGTTACTACTGCAAAGTTTCCAGCACAAAGTTACTACTGTAAATCAATGGACTGCGAATTTTATGCATTTAGAATTACGATGGATGGGTTCAACTCGAAACTGTGAACACATTGGAAGAATAATCTTTTCATTTTGCATAAAGGTTCGCAATCTACTAATCAGAAATCGGAAGAATTGTGTTACGTTTTAATAGCTCTTTTAAAAGATATTTTGACTCACGTTTCCATTCAAGTTTTTTTTAAATAACGAAAGATATCTACTTCTTTCGATCTCTGATTGTAATTGATTCTTGTCTGTCGAAGCAAAGCCTCGGCGTTCTATCAATTTATTCAAATTCTTATCCAGCGCACAGTACGACTGAAATGAAAGTTGCTAATATTTCGCAAAAGCAGGGCAACATCGTAATACCACAATCAGACTGCAATAAATGTTCTGTTTCCAGTTATTGCAAGTCAATTCTTCTTTTGTGTTTATAAAATTACCATGCGAGGCTCAACGTTTGAAATTCAGCAGTCTTTAAATGAAAATGATAGCAATAAAAAAACAAGGAGTCCGCTTTATATTTTCATAATAATTAAAGCATTGTCGAATTGGTTCGATGAGTTTCATTAGGATATTTGAAAGTGACCATCAGGAGCGCAGAAGCTCCGCCGTAGTTCACGATTAAAGGGATCGAAGCAGAAGCATGCGGATCTTCGCGGAGCTAAGGAGAAGTTCTTGCGTATGCTGACATAACATAAAATGAAAGTTCGCCAGCGCGACAAGGTGGAACGACGACTCCTACAAACTACGGCAAAATCATAGAGCGAAGATTATGGTTGGGCAAAATGTTCGCCCTATTCATCTGTTAATCAGTTACGAAATTCCTCCATCGCTTTCTCAGTAACGAATAGTTCCTCTGATCCTTTCTCGATGAATCGAGATCGAAATAATTCAGTTGAAAATATTTCGCCTAAAACTTATATTTAATACGAAGTATCCATTTCGTGATAGTCACTGCGAATTTAACAGTCGATTATTTGACAATTATCAAAGGATTATTTGAAATTCCATCGATCTTGGCAGAACAAAGTATTATTATAACCATGATTATTAAACATGTAACCAATGCACTGGCCCATAAATTAATGTTGAAACATCAACGAGAAATTGTTCACGCAGTCACGTTGTCAAAGAACAAGCGCTAAGCCGTGAAATCCTATGCTATAGTCAACGTGTTAACGCGTTGTTCCGACGACGTCGAAATCCTAATCCGTCTTATCGCCGAGTTGCAGTCGGTGCTGCAACTTCAATCGGGACGCAACAAAGATTTCTTACCTGCGAGACAGGAATTAAGCGAGCACTCAGGTGTTGCTTGCAACCGATGTTTAATCGCGAAGCGCGTCGGCGGTTTGAGAGGCGTGGCGAAGCCTAGCAACGAATAGTTTAGCCGTAACTCTGGCAACGTGGGAACATGTGTTCATTTGCACCGATTTCAGATAGATATCACGTATCAGCCTCCTCAAATGCTTGGTAAATCGATCGAACTACTGTGTAGACACACCGAGACTACCTCCACCTCCATCATGACCTCCGAATTGCAGTCGACAAACCCTTGAAACAAATCATTTTTGGGCTATTTCGTTTTCATTTTACCGATTTCTTGTTATAAAAATTATTGATAGTCATGATGATATTCGTCACACACTCAATCGTCCATATTATTTTCCTTCTTCTTTTTAGAGTTAGTATCGGATGGATCAAAATGATACGAAATCTTGTTTTACAATTAGCGAAGTTATAAGGATGCTTTCGTGGGAAATTATCGAATGAGTTTACTCACTCGTACACGTATTGCAATGCAATTTCTATAAACGGTCACGCGATGATCGCGATAATAGACAGTAACAAAAAGCTGGTGCTCTCAGGGTTCAATACCTCTAGTGATGTTTAATTCTTTAATTTTTTTTTTGGACTCAATTGTCCATATTATTTTCCTTCTTCTTTTTAGAGTTAGTATCGAATGTATCAAAATGATACGAAATCTTGTTTTACAATTAGCGAAGTTATAAGGATGCATTCGTGGGAAATTATCGAATGAGTTTACTCACTCGTACAGGTATTGCAATGCAATTTCTATAAACGGTCACGCGATGATAGCGATAATAGACAGTACAAAGCAGGTCCTCTTAGAATTCAATACCTCTAGTGGTATTTAATTCTTTAATTTTTCGTCACACACTCAATCGTCCATATTATTTTCCTTCTTTTTTTTAGAATTTGTATCGGATGTATCAAAATGATACGAAATCTTGTTTTACAATTAGCGAAGTTATAAGGATGCATTCCTGAGAAATTATCGAATGAATTTACTCACTCGTACACGTATTGCAATGCAATTTCTATAAACGGTCACGCGATGATAGCGATCATAGACAGTACAAAGCAGGTGCTCTCAGGGTTCAATACCTCTAGTGGTGTTTAAAACCCGATTGATCGAGTAAAGAGATCGACGAATTATATTCCAGTTTAAAAACAAAGCTTCCGCAGATCAACGATAAGTATCGTTCGGATGCGCCGCTCTTTTTTTGTTTTGTTTGCGAAAGCACCGTGAATTTAACGATCTCGCGGGTCCCATCGAGTATTTAGGAGGAAGCAATTCAACCGGCCGGTATTGATCCCGTCGCGATTTCGATCAGCCGCGGGCAGAGTGCGTACGCGCGGAAAAAAGAGGATCAAAACAACCGCTGTGACCCGGAAACGATCGTACATGTGTCCGCGCGCACTGCCGACCGAACGATATCCTGCGCTTTCATCGCCGACACGCGAATTCCCTTGGCTCTCTTTCGCACACAAACGCGCGGCTTTCCGACAGGATACCACCCCCTCCCCCCTTGACCTAGAAGGGACACGTTCTTTATGGAGCCCGTAAAATTACGTCTAAGGCCACAGAAACTGGAGGAAACATCCGGCGTTTCTGAAAAGTCTATAAAACTATACGAAACCGAGTATCAAAATTAGAGAATTGCAGTTGAGAAATGCATTTTTTTTGTTTTCGTGTCACCGTTTCTGACACTTTTATTTTGTTTATTTTTTAATAAAAAAATATTCAGCATTGAATATGGCTGAATCGTGAAATATAAAGTCAATTGTGCTCAAAAAACCGAAGGCGCATTGGTCTCTCCACAGTAAACGGTTCCACTGCCCTAATCTTGATGTTCGAAGCACCTTACCCGACCTTTCTTGGATTTGGCATCGTCGCTGTTCTATTTTCAAGATCCATCTACGTGTTTTATTGCGTTGACGAACAGTTTCCTTTTATCTTGTCTTGTTCTTCGAAAAACCTATTTATTTGCAGCTACCATTGGCACATACTGTTTTTATTCGAGCTACCGAATCTTCTTGAATCTTATATTTCCAATGTGACACTGGAATGTTAATAGTTTCATTTTCTTACGAATAAACCCTGCCAGCAGGTGCGCGAATGTTTCGGAGAAACGTTTAGACCGGTTTCAGACGTTTTCACGAGGGCAACGGTAATCAAGAAAACAATAGCTTGCGATTTCCCACGAAGATAGCGCCTCAAAATAGCAATTCTGCTGACACTTGCGCATTCAATGCGTCGATGTATTTTCCACCGCGAAGCCCGCGGTTTTACATATTCACGAATGTGTCCGGACACGTGTAAACTGTCCAGGAATTTCTGCCGTCGTTACAAAATCGAACCAACGAATACGAACTTCCGTTGCGTCGATTCAACGCGAAAAGGCAAATACAGAGGGTACGTCGGAGTTAAACCGAACTCGCGATTATCCGCGATCTCGATCGTCGGCCGTGTCAGATTGTACTTTCGAGCACACACAAGCCATATTTTACCGAATCTCCAGTGGTGCTCGACGGTGAACGTGCAAGAACGAATCCTCTTCTAAAGTCTATTTGCTTGGTCGTGAAATACGTTGTAGTTCTGTTCGCCTCGTCGAACGGCGCTCGCTCGAACCGCGCGTACTTCCCTCTTTCCCCCGAGGCTTTCGTTCTCCCCCGAAAGTAAACCAATTCTCCACATTGTTTTCGAACCGTGCCCTCCGCGATTAAAACAATATTTATACGTTCGTGTCTTCCGGGATTATTATCCGCTCGAACATAGGAAGCGCGTCGGGCTTCCGAATGTAAATATCGGAAAAT